TGGCACCGAGCGTCCGGCTCCCTGTCTATGCGGCGCAGGTACTTGCCGAAGCAGCCATGCCCCGACAGCACCTGCGTCACCCTAAACGACAGGGAGCCGTGCCTTCTCCCGAGCCAGTCGTCGAGTACTGGCCGGATCGCCTCGACGGTAGCGAGGCCTGCGGTAGGGCGCAGAAGCCTTTGCCGCCATTCCGCCACCAAGACCTGACGGAGCTCCTCTCGGCGCAGCGCGATCTGCCGCTGCACCGGCCTCGAGCCCCGTGCCCGCTCTTCCTCGCGCCATCGATATAATGACGCGAGTACTTTCGCCTCTAGGTCCCAGGGCGGGGATCCGGCCAGGACGCAAGCCGCCTCGTAGGAAATCGTGCGATACCCGCGGGCGACTCTGACGGCCATCGCCCTCTGCGGTTTACGCAGAATGGCGAGAGTGCTGGCCGTCATGTCCATCGCCCACACAGGGGCCCCATACAGGGCCATGGACCGCACGATTCCCACGTACAACCGCCTACAGGCGGCGCTCGGGCCCCCCAAGTTGGGAAGCAACGTTGATAGCGCGCCCGCTGCACCCATCAGCTTGGGCGCCAGCCGCCGGAAGTGGGGTCCGAATTCCCATCGGCTGTCGAGCACCAATCCCAGATACTTCATGGTGGACTCGACAGCTATCCGGGCCCCGCTGACCACGATGTGTGAGCCCGGCGGCGGCGCGCGTCGAGGGCCATGGAACACCATGGCCTCCGACTTATTTAGGGCCACCTCCAGGCCCAGGCGCCGGATGCGGTTCACCACTTGTGACACCGCAGCCGTGGCAACCAACGCTGCTTCCCTGTGTGAACTCCCCCGGGCAGTGACGAGCGTGTCGTCCGCATAACACGTCAAGTCGGCGCCCGACGGGAGTTCACCTCTCAGCACCCAGTCGTAGCCGATGTTCCACAGGAGCGGTCCCAAGACCGAGCCCTGCGGAACACCGCACGACATGACGCGCCGACCAGCGCCGTCACGTCCCCAATAGGTAACGCATCTAACCTAACCTAACCTAACCTAACCTTTTTTTTTTTTTTTTACGGGGGGAAATCCTCATGGACTACCTCCGCCTGGGGAAAGGCGGAGGGGCGTGCTTGACTCTTACCGGCTAAAACCACCCCGGTGTCTCCTCACACGTGCGCGTGGGGCCGCGGGAATCCAAATTCTTCCGCAGCCCCACACTAGTGCTGGCCCGGTCCGTCCGGGCCTCGTCTCCTGCACGGGGTAGTGAGGTGTTAAACTACCCCGTGTATCGCCTCAGGGGCGCGCGCCGACATCCGCGCGCGCCTCCGCCTCGGGTCCATCGAGTAGGGGTGGCGGGGGCTTCCCCAAAACCCTCGCCCCTGGACCCATTTATGGGGGCCGGAAAAGGGCGTTGTCCGCCCTTCTCCTACGCCCGGTGCGCCTTCTGCGGCCTGGGAAGGGAGTCGAGATCTCCCTTTCCCGTTCCGCAGTTTCCTTCTGCGACATCACGTCCTCGCAGAAGGACACCACCGCATCCCACGACTCTGCGCTACCGACCATCTTCCGCACTAAGGCCGGCAGCGACAGATCGCCTTCTACTTTATTTGTGAGGACACGGCGCTGCTCCTCCCAAGCTACACACTCGGCGAGCGTGTGTTGCGCCGTGTCCTCCCCGCAATGGACGCAGTGGTGGCACCGAGCGTCCGGCTCCCTGTCTATGCGGCGCAGGTACTTGCCGAAGCAGCCATGCCCCGACAGCACCTGCGTCACCCTAAACGACAGGGAGCCGTGCCTTCTCCCGAGCCAGTCGTCGAGTACTGGCCGGATCGCCTCGACGGTAGCGAGGCCTGCGGTAGGGCGCAGAAGCCTTTGCCGCCATTCCGCCACCAAGACCTGACGGAGCTCCTCTCGGCGCAGCGCGATCTGCCGCTGCACCGGCCTCGAGCCCCGTGCCCGCTCTTCCTCGCGCCATCGATATAATGACGCGAGTACTTTCGCCTCTAGGTCCCAGGGCGGGGATCCGGCCAGGACGCAAGCCGCCTCGTAGGAAATCGTGCGATACCCGCGGACGACTCTGACGGCCATCGCCCTCTGCGGTTTACGCAGAATGGCGAGAGTGCTGGCCGTCATGTCCATCGCCCACACAGGGGCCCCATACAGGGCCATGGACCGCACGATTCCCACGTACAACCGCCTACAGGCGGCGCTCGGGCCCCCCAAGTTGGGAAGCAACGTTGATAGCGCGCCCGCTGCACCCATCAGCTTGGGCGCCAGCCGCCGGAAGTGGGGTCCGAATTCCCATCGGCTGTCGAGCACCAATCCCAGATACTTCATGGTGGACTCGACAGCTATCCGGGCTCCGCTGACCACGATGTGTGAACCCGGCGGCGGCGCGCGTCGAGGGCCATGGAACACCATGGCCTCCGACTTACTTAGGGCCACCTCCAGGCCCAGGCACCGGATGCGGTTCACCACTTGTGACACCGCAGCCGTGGCAACCAACGCTGCTTCCCTGTACGAACTCCCCCGGGCAGTGACGAGCGTGTCGTCCGCATAACACGTCAAGTCGGCGCCCGACGGGAGTTCACCTCTCAGCACCCAGTCGTAGCCGATGTTCCACAGGAGCGGTCCCAAGACCGATCCCTGCGGAACACCGCACGACATGACGCGCCGACCAGCGCCGTCACGTCCCCAATAGGTAACGCATCTCTCCTCAAGGTAAGCCCCTATTGTGCGGCGGAGGTAGGGAGGCACGCGATGGTAATTCAGCGCCTCCCGAATGCAACTCCAGGGTAGGGTGTTGAAAGCGTTGGAGATGTCTAAGGACACCGCCAGCACCACCCCACCCCGGGATACTGTCTCCTCCGCCAGGGCCCTCACGCGCGTAATAGCGTCTATGATGGAGCGCCCGCGACGAAAACCAAACTGGTTGTCATCCAGGTCCGGCCCCTCTCTGCACAAGTGGCTGACGAGGCGATCTGCGATGATACGCTCAAAAAGTTTGCCCGCCTCGTCGAGCAGCACTATGGGCCGGTACGCGGACGGTGAGTCCGCGGGGCGCCCCTCCTTCCTGAGCAGGACCAGCCTCCCCTCCTTCCACACACTGGGAAACTGACCCTGCTCGAGACATGCCGTGAAGAGCCCTCTCAGCTGGGGCTCTAGCTCCTTCAGAGCCAGGACGAGAGCTCGACCAGGAACTCCGTCGGGTCCGGGCGCTGTGTTCTTAGCAACCTAACCTAACCTAACCTAACCTAACCTAACCCGAGTTCCGTGCTTACCGCTGTCGCGTAAACATCGTTTTGAAGGCGCTCCGTCGTTAAAAAATTCGAAAAATAGGCAAAAGTAGTCGTATCCTTGTGAAATTTTCAGTAATTGTGCCTTAAGTGATCATTGTTGCGGTGGTGATACTTGTTAAGTGTTTGGTGTCAGCGTGTCTTCGAAATTTCTGGAAAACTGGAGGTCAAAGACAAAGAAACCACGTGTAAGTTAAAATTTTAACTATAAAAGTGAATACGCTGCAAGTAGATGATCTATAACCTATACTTATTTATAGGTCATTTTAAAGGTCTTCTTTTGCTCTGTCTACTCCTATAAGTTTCAGATTTTTCTGCTGAGAAACCGCTGAGATACAACCAAAAAAAAAAAAAAAAAAAAAAAAAAAAAAAAAAAAAAAAAAAAAAAAAAAGTAAAAACCACGTGGCAACCAAAAATTTTTTCCAGAGCCGTGCGGCTAAATTTTGGAGTGCAGGGTTACTTTGGCACGCATTCTGAACTATCTAAAATTTGTTTCACGAGGATCAAGTTGGTACTCAAAAAGTTATAACATAAATTATAAAATTAAAAAAAAAAAAAAAAGTTCAAAAATTAAACAGTTAATAATTTTTATTTTTAAGCGATAACACATCATTTTTATTAAAGTTTCAACTAAAAAAATATATCAAAGTATAAAAATTGAAAAAAAAAATTAAATTATTTTTTCAAGCGATTTTGGCATAATAAATTTTTTCCTTAAACAACACTCCCACGTGGTCCACTTAATAAAAGCGTGCGGCTGATTTTGAAATAGGAAATAGGTAGAATTCTTTTTTCCTAATAAAGAACCGTTTTCAGATTGAAATTATCTTAAAAATCTTAGGAGTTATTGAATTTTTAGTAATTTTTTAGTGTTTTTATCTTATAAAAGTTTAAATAATTAAAAATCATTAATTTTTGCTTTATCATTAAATAGAACTATCAAACCCCTTTCCAAAGAGCCCAAACTCGATAAGGTTATCTGTTACCGTTCGGAAACTGGAAAAATTTTGAATAATAGGACGCCATTTTGAAAAAATTTAAATTGAAATTACTCGTAAAATTCAAATCATAAACAGGTCGTGTTTGGACTTATTAGAATTGGCAAGGACTTTTCTACCAAGATTTGCATTCAAAAAGAATACTTCACTAAATTACCTGAAATCGGGTTAATTACATAGATCTCGACTTCCTCAACACAAAGAACCCAAACACAGTATTTCAAAAAGTTTTTGTTCCACAGTTATAAACGAAAATATATTTTTGGCCGCCATATTGAAAAACTTTAAATTTAAATTACAAACGAACTGTAGGTGATAGGATAGTCGAGTTTGGACTTATTAGAATTACCAGAATCTAGCCAAAGTAAATCCATAAAAAATATTTCCGGCCGCCATATTGAAATATTTTAAATTTAAATTACTCACGAACTATAGGTGATAGGATAGTCGAGTTTGGACTTATTCGAATTGCCAGAACCTAGCCAAAGTAAATCCATCAAAATTTTCCGACAGCCATATTGGAATTATTTTAAATTTAAATAACTTTTGAACTATAGGTGATAGAATAGTCGAGTTTGGACTTATTTGAATCATCAGGACCTAACCAAAATAAATCAGTCGAAAGATTTTAGCTAGCATAATAAAACAAAAAAAAAAAGAAAAGGAAAAAAAAATCTAATTACATAGGAATTTTGAGAGATAGGATATCTGAAGAGGAAAAAAAATGTATAAGCCAACATCGGGAGCGTCTTCAGTGTCTTCTATTAAAACAAAATCATCAACCAAATCTGCTAGAACTACCGCTGGCAGTGCAACACTGCGGAAGAAAGTTTTAATGCAAAATGCTAACACTACTGTAAAAGAAATAGGTGATGATGACACAACGTTCGAAACAGCACAGGCCCCATCGGAATCATCACCAAATTCAGAGGCTTTAAATATCGAGGGAAAATACCCACTTGGAAAACTTGAAATGACCGAACAAGATTCCGATGACAATAGCTCTTTAGCAATGGATATGGAGGCGGAATTGCAGGTATTAGGAATTTGTAAGCCGGTCCTACGTACGGACGATGAATGGTCAGACGCTGATAGTGTGGCTAGTGTGCATAGTAAAAGGTCCAGTATCTTACCGCCTGCATACAAGAAAGCAGGTATTTCAATGGACCTGGCCACCCAAAGAGCAAATGAATTCTTACAATCCGGCAAAGAAGCGCTAGAAAAAGCCGGTAATATGAAAAAAGAATGCAAAATCGAAGTGCACGAATGTTTACAAGGCTTATATGAAGTAGCGTTATCTTTGTCCGATTCTCGTTCACTTCACCGTCTCGCGCTAGAGCAAGAGCGTTGTCGAGCTGCAAAGGAATTAGTTAGGGTAGAACGTGCTCACACCAAGCAAATAGCAGAGTTACAGTCAACGTTTTATCAGAAACTTAAGGAAGCGCATGAGAGTATTCGAGAGACGTTTAAGTCAGCGGAAGCAATTCGCAGCTGGCTCAACTATGAGATGGATGAGCCAATTAAGTCCATACAAAACATCCAACTTGAGCTGCGTGGATTAGCAACAACAACAGTCCCATCAAAAGCTGCCCTCGAATTTACTCATGAACAACCTGCCGTCACAACGGAGACGTTAATGTTATTGTCTAGACAAATCAAAGAAATATCAGAAGAAATTAATAACTTGATAAATAAAATAGACACCCTAGAAAGCAGGCCAATAGATATCGAACAAAAATTATCACCAATAAAAGAACAGAATACCGAACTAATCCATCGTATGGATGGTTTTGCTGAAAACCTACACCAAACCAAGGAAATGGTTCAAAATCTACCAACAAAAGTACAAATTAACACAATACCCATGGAAGAACAGAAGAAAGAACTTCGGGATGCATTTACCCCACTAATAGAACTTATAAACAGATCTAATAACCAAATAGAGGATTTAAAAGAATGTATTACTGCACAAATGGTATGTCAAGGAAATTCTGGAATAGGTACAGAGTTGGCACTCGCTGAAATTAAAGAAAAAATCAACGATATGTATAATCGACAAAGTGTTGATACACAAACATTGGAAAATAAAAATTTTGAAAGATACGACCAAGATAACAATAAACCACAAACTACAGTAGATAATAAAGCGACACGAACACGATCACATGCCGAGGCAGTTATACAGCCAAAATATTCAGTAATATTAGAGTCAATAGATCCACGTAATTCTAGCCACGATATTATTACGCAAGTGAAAAATGACGTCGATCTGATAGAATTAGGAGTAAGAGTAAATAAAATAACAAAACTAAAAAACCAAAAAGTAATAATTAACTGTGATTCTTCTGAAGATAGAGCCATCTTAAAAACTGTAAAAAACTAACGGTCTCAACCCTCCCTGCAAAGAATCCACAGTTACGTTTGATAGGAGTAGCCACAGATTTGGACGATACAAAATTAATTAAAGCAGTCATTAAAGAAAATGTTAAGTTATTATCAGACCTAGAAGATGAACAAAAGACCATTAAAGTACTCCGCAGAACAAAAAGTCGAATAAGGGAGTTAACAAACGTAATAGTTGAGACCACCCCACAAATGTGGGCGAAACTGAAAGAACAAAAATTAAGACTAGGATATCAAGTGGTGTCGTGTGTGGATCAGTCGCCTGTAACACAATGCTACAGATGTCTTGGGTTTAACCACACGGCCAAAGACTGTAAGAACGAGCAACGCTGTGGCTACTGTTCAGAAACACACGACACGAGAGAATGTAGAAATATAAATCAGGCACCAAAATGCTGTAACTGTATTGACTCACAGAAAACAACTTTACCACATCCTGCCTATAGCCATGAATGTCCTGAATGGTCTAAGTGGGACAAAATAGCTAGGTCATCAGTCACTTACTGCTAAGCAAAAGGCGAGCAAACACAAAATACAGATACACGCATTAATTCCATAAAAGTTATCCAGTACAATTTGGATCGAGGACGTGCAGCAACACAAGAGTGTTTGCGCACGGCTTCGACCCTAGGATATTCCATAATATTGATGCAAGAGCCCTACATTGGAAACAAGAACAATGTTTCAGTAGGCTCTCAATTTCGAGTGATCCAAAAAACTAGTAAAGAAATAGCTAAACCTGTAAGATCGGCAATTGTCATTTTGAATCAGAACCTTAACTTTGTTGTTAATCCTAATTTAGTAAGTGAAGATATTGTAGGAGTAACAATTAGATTAGGCCAAACTAAAGTAGGAATAATTAGTATATATTTACATGAGAAGACAAATATTGAAGAAGATGTCGCAACAATCAAGAGGTTAATAACAACAATGGACGCTGATGAATACATATTAGGAGGAGACGCAAATGCCAATAGCATCTGGTGGGGCTGCAAGGCAGATGATAGGAGAGGAACTACCATAATGGAGGCATTTGCTGAATTAAGTTTTGAGATTCTCAATACAGGCACCAAACCAACTTTTAGTGTATATAGGAGAGGAGAAGAATGCTCTAGTATTATAGATATTACTGCATGCTCCACTACATTTCTTCATAAAATTAAAAACTGGACAGTTAATGAACACCTTTGTACCCTTTCAAGCCACAGACCTATTACATTTGAAATCCATTTACAAAACACAAACACTAAACAAATCAACAAAAGTACTAGAAAATACAATACTATAAAGGCAGATTGGATTAAATTTACTCATGAATTTAAAGAAGAATTAAATAGACGAGATATAAACGTGAACACAATAAGAGAGATCAAGTTAGTAGAAAACCTAAATGAAATAGTAGACAGCTATACACACAGTATTTTATATGCATGCGATAAAGCAATACCACTTACAAAAACAAAACTAATTAAAACAGCAGTTTGGTGGAACAAGGAAATAACGGAAATGAAAAAAGAAACGATAAGAAGAAGAAGAAGAATACGAAACGCCAACCCGAACAGACGGCAATACGTCATTGAGCAATACCAAGAAGCCAAGGCAAAATATAAAAGTATGATTGAAGAAGCAGCAACTAACAGTTGGAAAACTCTTTGTACTAAAGAAGAGAAAGAAAACCTATGGCAAAGGACATACAGAATTATAAAAATCTGCACAAAAAGAGAAGAAGATAAATTACTAAGAGACATAGGCGGAACTATCCTTACCGAAAGAAAATCTGCAGAATTACTTGCCGAAACTTTTTATCCCAATGACTATTTAGATACAGACACAAATGAACAAGTTGAATTAAGAAATAGATCTAAACAAAAAGCAAAACAATTGGAAAATAGCATTATTAACATTAAGCAACCTTTTACAGCATATGAAATTGAAAGCATTTTTAAAAATATGAGCCCGAAGAAAGCTCCCGGCGATGATGGGTTAACGTCAGATATCTGCCAAACAGCTTTTGCGTCTAGCCCAGAGATACTCATAGCGCTTCTCAACCAGTGTCTCAATATTGGGTACTTCCCAGCACAATGGAAAACTGCAACGATTAAGGTCATACCCAAACCTAACAAAGAAGACTATACATTACCTAAATCTTACAGACCGATAGGACTATTACCAATACTCGGTAAGGTACTAGAAAAATTGTTTGTGAATAGACTTCAATGGCAGTTGGGAGCCGAGGGAAAAATGAGCAGAAGACAATATGGCTTTACACCACAGCGAAGTACAGAAGACGCACTATACGATATGCTAACAATTATAAAAGAAGGTATATCGAAAAAGCAGATTGTGGCATTAGTTTCCCTAGACATCGAAGGTGCGTTTGATAGCGCGTGGTGGCCAGCGATAATAAACCAATTATCTTACAAGGATGTAGACGAATCTGTATTAAGACTTATAACGAGCTATTTAACAGGAAGAAAAATAAAACTTAGATATGCAGGGGAAGAAGTGGTAAAACATACAAACAAAGGATGCATCCAGGGATCGACATGTGGTCCTATCTTATGGAACATATTATTAGATTCACTATTACAAGATACCCAGAACACAAGAGCACACGTTCAGGCATTCGCGGATGATATAGTAATAATAGGAATAGCAAAAACTGGCCAACAACTAGAAAGAGATATAAACGAGACATTAAGTATAATAGCAGCATGGGGAAAGATACATAAAATGAAGTTTGCAGCGCACAAAACACAGGCTATGATTATCACCAAACAAATAAAATATCACCGCCCTCAGCTACTTTTGGAAGGCATAGAGCTTAAATATTCAAACTACCTTAAGATATTAGGCCTCACAATAGACGAAAACATTAATTTCAAACAGCATTTAGATAACATCAGTCAAAAGGCGGTCAATCTCTACAAAATGATATCAAGAGCTGCTAGAGCACAATGGGGGCTCAACTCTGAAATAGTACGAACTATATATTTAGCTGTAGTAGAACCTACTATACTATATGCTGCAAGCTGCTGGGTAGAATCGACCAATAAAAAGTACATCCAAACAAGACTCAACAGACTAACTCGTCTTTTTGGAATACGCATAAGCAAAGGTCATAAAACAAACTCATTAATTTCAAGTACCCTACTCGCCAGAATAATACCACTTGCACTAAGAGTAAAAGAAAATGCCGAAATTTATGAAATCAAAAGAGGAAAACAAATTGCTGCCCTACCTGGAAGGGTAATGGAAACCAGGATAAGTCCATTCCAGCTACCACACCCAGCCGAAAGAATACAAAGAACATATAGGCTTATAAATACAATAGAGGATATAGCCCTGATAGACAACGATTGGCCAAAGATATACACAGATGGTAGCAAAATCGAAAATAAAGTAGGTTTTGCAGTAACAGTCTGGAAGGGCGATAAAGAAATTAAAAGAACTACCTCTCGCCTTGAAAGTTACTGCAGTGTGTACCAGGCAGAACTGATTGCAATATTAAAAGCTGTACAGTTTGTTTCTGAATCTGTTAGGTATCCTAAAGCCAATATTTTAAGTGACTCAAGATCGGCCATTGAAAGTATCTGCAATCCATTATCACTACACCCTATTGTATCTGAGATACAAGATATAATTACTACATTAGAAAAGAATAATGGACGAATTGAACTGTTCTGGATAAAAGCGCACTGCGGTATTCCTGGTAATGAACGAGCTGACGAACTAGCTAAAAATGCTGCCATTAAAAATAAACAGCGTCCAATATATGACAAGTTCCCCCTATCTTATGCCAAGCACCTCACTAGAAATGCTACTCTCATGATCTGGCAACAGAAGTACATCGAATCTGCAGGCAGCGAGACTACAAAAATATTCTTCCCTAATGTATCAATGGCTTACAAAATACTAAAAGATATCAAAATTACTAACCTTGAAACACAATTGTTTACTGGACATGGGGGAAATAAATCCTATTTGCATCGGTTTAAGTTATCGACAAATCCACATTGCACTTGCGATGATGCAAGCGATCAAACAATAGAGCACATTATCACACAGTGCCCAAAATTTAACAAAACTAGATATGAATGCGAGTGCAGCTTGGATATGCCGATTAAGAAAGACACTATATCAAAAATGATGGAAGATGACAATCGCCGATCTATATTCATGCAATTTGCACTTTCTGCCTTTAGAGTTATAAATAAAGAAAATGGAAGTAAGTTGTAATATACATTGCATAAAAGCTAAACTTTGTCTAACTCTTATGTAACATACAAATCGATATTTGTTTTTTTTTTCTTTTTTTTTGCTTTTGCTACAAATTAATTGATTGTAACATAATGGTAAAACATGTATAATATAATGTTTTACCATAGATTATAATGAATAGTATAATATAATTATGTATAAGCAAGGATAAATAGTAAAACGTTAGTGGTAGCAGTACTATATTTAGTAGATATAGAAACAAGTAACGTTTAATTCAATATAGTAGAAGTAATAGGTGAGTAGATATAGTAATAAATAATGCATTAGTAAGTAGCTACATAATGATCATGAGATTAAATATAAAGAAGTATAGGTTTATGAAAATAATAGAAGTAAGCATAGGTTAAGAGGAGCACTGTATAGAATTATAGTTTACGATAAAAAAAATACAATAATATATAGATTACAAAACATGTGTAATATAACATTTAGATACAGTTATAAGTTATGTATTAGAAAGGAGGTTTAGTACTAAATTAGGTAGTAGTAGTAGTATTATGTTAATAGATATGGTAACTAGCAATACACAAGATATGTAAAAAAAAAACAATAATATATAGATTGCAAAACATGTGTAATATAACATTTAGATACAGTTATAAGTTATGTATTAGAAAGGAGGTTTAGTACTAAATTAGGTAGTAGTAGTAGTATTATGTTAATAGATATGGTAACTATCAATACACAAGATATGTAATAAAAAAAATAAGTAATGTATTATTAGTAACTAAGATTAAAAAAGAGAAGTATGTAATTCTGATAATAATAGAAGTAAGCATTGTTAAGAGGAACTAATTGAACAGTTATATCCAAAAAAAAAAAAATTACAAAAAAAAATATATATATATACAACGTGTCCCAAAATTCAACGATAAGCCAACACCGGAGGATAGACCTGCCCCGGACTAATCGGGTAAAAAAGAAAAAAATATATATCCCAATTATATTTTAAGTTATATAAAAAAAATGAAATTCTTCAGAAATTGAGACCGTTTATGATATTTTTCACTACCATGACCACAATTTTTTAAATATTTTTTTCTTTTTTTTTTTATAGGCAACCTGAATAGTACTGCTATCTACCACAATTCTTAAAAACTCCAGAATAACTCTTGTTTTATCACGAAAATTAATGAAACTTATTTTATTCCCTAAATTTTTTGAAGACTTTTACTTTTAACCAAATTTAACTTATCGTGGTGTAAAAAAAAAGTATGAACACTAGTATGGCAAGTTTTTTTAAAAATTGACGCAACTAACCAATATTCCAAAATGGTATAATACTCTAGGAAAACAAGTTATAAAAAAATATGGGCCTATTATTTCTTAACAGGGGCCAAATTCCTTAAATTGTAATTGTCAGTAATCACTTTTACTACATGCCCAAAATGGGTTCCTGTTACAATTTCTAGGAATTCGAATGGGGCATTAATACCTTAGATGTTAGAGAGAGATAGATAGATAGAGATATTTACGTTAAAAAGAGACAACAACAGGGCAGGTAGAGAAGCTGTTATTATTCTCAGCAAGTCGGTTCAGTACGCTCTGCTCCTTTGTTTACTGCGCACCGTACCCAATTCAACTTACGTGGCCCTCGTACATACTATCGACTTTTGGCTTGGCTTTTTGGACTGGAATCGACCTGCAAACTTAACTGACCTGGCATTATTTGGACTGGAAGTGATCTGCAAACTGAACTGACCTGGCATTATCTTGGACTACGATTGTGTGTTTTGTGATTTAGAGTTCTGGCGCATTTTGGACTGTTTGGCGTTTAACATGCCGCAACCGTACACACCACAGGAATACGCTAATATGCATTTAATCTATGGAGAATGCCGATGTAATGCTAACGCTGTTAGCAGATTGTATCCAGAAAGATACCCAAATGCTCAAAGATATCCTGATTATCGAGTGTTTATTAATGTGCATCAAGCGTTTTCGGAGGGTCGTATGCCATCCAATAGGAGCAGCGCTGGAAGACCTAGATTGGATCGTGATGAAGAAGTTCTCAAGGAGATAGAAAATGACTCGACTACTTCGGTACGTGCCATAGAAGAAGCTACAGGAATCCCGAAAAGTTCTGCACATCGAATATTAAAACGTCACAAGCTTCACCCATATCACTACAGGCGTGTGCAGACGTTATTACCGCGGGACTATCCGCTACGGGTCACATTTTGCCGTGTAATGCTGCAAAGGCACAGTGAAGATCCCCACTTCCTAGACAAAATTCTATGGTCGGATGAAACAACGTGCAAGAAAGATGGGTATTTAAATCTTCACAATCTACATAGTTGGAGTAATGAAAATCCACACTTGATGAGACAAGACAAATCCCAATATCAATTCAAGGTTAACCTATGGACCGGCATATTAAATGGAAAAGTAATTGGGCCCTTTGAGTTACAAGGAAACTTAGATGGCAATAGTTATTTAAACTTTTTACAAAATGACTTGCAAGAATTGTTAAACGACGTGCCCTTAAGTGATCTTCAAAACATGTGGTTCCAAAATGATGGTTGCCCAGCACATTATGCCCGTCCTGTGCGAGAATATTTAAATCAAGAGTATCCAGGGCGTTGGATCGGGCGACTTGGTCCTATCTTATGGCCACCCCGTTCACCCGATTTGAACCCCCTGGACTTCTTCTATTGGGGTTGTCTTAAAAACAGGGTCTACTCAAAACCCATTGTGACATTGGACGAGCTTCGTCGAAATATCACTCAGGCTGCTGATTACATTAATAGCAGAAGATATGCAAGACAAATAAAACGATCATTTTTAAGGCGATGTCGTGCATGTATTAATGCTGGTGGCAAACAGTTCGAACATTTGCTATAATGTTAATAACTTAATAAATTACACGTGAAACTGTTTGTACCATTTGTTTTGAAATATTAAACATTTTTCAAGAAATAATACTTTTATTACACCCGACCGTCATTTGGCCCCTGTTAAGAAATAATAGGCCCATATTTTTTTATAACTTGTTTTCCTAGAGTATTATACCATTTTGGAATATTGGTTAGTTGCGTCAATTTTTAAAAAAACTTGCCATACTAGTGTTCATACTTTTTTTTTACACCACGATAAGTTAAATTTGGTTAAAAGTAAAAGTCTTCAAAAAATTTAGGGAATAAAATAAGTTTCATTAATTTTCGTGATAAAACAAGAGTTATTCTGGAGTTTTTAAGAATTGTGGTAGATAGCAGTACTATTCAGGTTGCCTATAAAAAAAAATGAAAAAAAATATTTAAAAAATTGTGGTCATGGTAGTGAAAAATATCATAAACGGTCTCAATTTCTGAAGAATTTCATTTTTTTTATATAACTTAAAATATAATTGGGATATATTTTTTTTTCTTTTTTACCCGATTAGTCCGGGGCAGGTCTATCCTCCGGTGTTGGCTTATCGTTGAATTTTGGGACACGTTGTATATATATATAAAAAAAATACAAAAAAAAAATATAGAAGTTATGAAAACAGAAATCATGATAAAAGAAATAGAAAGGTACTGCATTAATAGCAGTAGAATAAAAGGAAATAAAAAAAAAAAATAAAAAAAACCTAACCTAACCGAAATCCTCATGGATACCTCCGGCTGCGGGGGCAACCGGAAGGTTATGCCGGACTCCTACCGGCTAAAACCCCACGGTGCCTCCTCGCACGTGCGCGCGGGGCCGCGGGAATCAAAATTCTTCCGCAGCCCCACACTAGTGCTGGCCCGGTCTGTCCGGGCCTCGTCTCCTGCACGGGGTAGCGAGGTGTTCAGCTACCCCCCTCCACAGCCTCCAACTCCACCTGCGTATCGGACCCCCCCGAGTCCTATACGCGGAGGCCATGGGGCCCGGAAAAACCAGCACTCAGAAGCATCAGCCTATCCTGACCCCAGCGGCGGATCTGGTCTATGGCTCCGCCGCCAACCAAGATTCGGCTGCGGAAGGTAGGGAGAGCGGCGCCTCGCAATACCGACACTCCTCTCCCCCCGCAGCCCCACCACCACCGCATCATTTAACGGTGCGGCCCCGTCTGAGTCGCGAAGGATAGGGCGAGTGGCGCATCGCCATACCAGCACGCCTCTTCCTTCGCGACTCCACCTCGGCTGCAGCGATAGAGGGAGCGGACACCCCTCTCGCAGCATTCCACCGACACACATCCGAAGTGGGCTTCCCAAGCCCACTCGGAGTGGCCACCTCGGGCCGGCCCTACACCACGGGCCAGCCAAGGGGTTCCTCTTTGTTCACCGTGGTTGACCAAGCCACGGCTACTAAGCCCCCCCGCCACGACAATGCGGGAACCCGTTCGGGGGGGAACCTAACCTAACCTAACCTTTTTTTTTTTTTTTTTTTTTACATGGGGAAATGCCTACGCATACCCGCCTCGCGGGGGCAAGGACGGGTTATGTCGGACTCGCACCGACTAAAACCCCATGGTGTTCCACCCTCGTCGCATATTGGCAGGGCCACGGGAACGCTTTCGCACACTTCCGCGGCCCCACCTGCGCCGGCCACCCCATGGCGGCCCCTCCTCGGGAGAGGACCACTCCTCCCCCATCTCCTTCTCCGGTAAGGCGCACCAGAACACATGGCGCGCCCTCCTCCTCGGCCTCCAATTTCATATGCGCAACAGACGCCCCCGTGTCCGATGCGCGAAGGCCATGGGGCCAGGAAAAACTAGCACTAAGAAGCACCAGCCTTCCCGACCCCAGCGGCGGATCCGGTCTATGGCTCCGCCGCCAACCAAGATTCGGCTGCGGAGGGTAGGGAGAGCGGCGCCTCGCAATACCGACACTCCTCTCCCCCCGCAGCCCCACCACCACCGCATCATTCAACGGTGCGGCCCCGTCTGAGTCGCGGAGGATAGGGCGAGTGGCGCATCGCCATACCAACACTCCTCTTCCTCCGCGACTCCACCTCGGCTGCAGCGGTAGAGGGTTGCGGACTCCCCTCTCACCACAGCCCCCCGACACACATCCGAAGTGGGCTTCCCAAGCCCACTCGGAGTGGCCACCTCGGGCCGGCCCTACACCTCGGGCCAGCCAAGGGGTTCCTCTTCGTTCACCGTGGTTGACCAAGCCACGGCTACTAAGCCCCCCCGCCACGACAAGGCGGGAACCCGTTCGGGGGGGAACCTAACCTAACCTAACCTAACCTAACCTTTTTTTTTATTTTTTTTTTTACATGGGGAAATGCCTACGCATACCCGCCTCGCGGGGGCAAGGACGGGTTATGTCGGACTCGCACCGACTAAAACCCCATGGTGTTCCACCCCCGTCGCATATTGGCGGGGCCACGGGAACGCTTTCGCACACTTCCGCGGCCCCACCTGCGCTAGCCACTCTATGGCGGCCCCTCCTCGGGAGAGGACTACTCCTCCCCCATCTCCTTCTCAGGTAAGGCGCACCAGAACACATGGCGCGCCCTCCTCCTCGGCCTCCAATTTCCAAAGCGCAACAGACGCCCCCGAGTCCGATGCGCGAAGGCCATGGGGCCAGGAAAAACTAGCACTCAGAAGCACCGGCCTTCCTGGCCCCAGCGGCGGATCTGGTCTATGGCTCCGCCGCCAACCAAGATTCGGCTGCGGAGGGTAGGGAGAGCGGCGCCTCGCAATACCGACACTCCTCTCCCCCCGCAGCCCCACCACCACCGCATCATTTAACGGTGCGGCCCCGTCTGAGTCGCGGAGGATAGGGCGAGTGGCGCATCGCCATACCAACACTCCTCTTCCTCCGCGACTCCACCCCGGCTGCAGCGGTAGAGGGTGCGGACTCCCCTCTCACCGCAGCCCCCCGACACACATCCGAAGTGGGCTTCCCAAGCCCACTCGGAGTGGCCACCTCGGGCCGGCCCTACACCTCGGGCCAGCCAATGGGTTCCTCTTCGTTCACCGCGGTTGACCAAGCCACGGCTACTAAGCCCCCCCGCCACGACAAGGCGGGAACCCGTTCGGGGGGGAACCTAACCTAACCTAACCTTTTTTTTTTTTTTTTTTTTTTACATGGGGAAATGCCTACGCATACCCGCCTCGCGGGGGCAAGGACGGGTTATGTCGGACTCGCACCGACTAAAACCCCATGGTGTTCCACCCTCGTCGCATATTGGCAGGGCCACGGGAACGCTTTCGCACACTTCCGCGGCCCCACCTGCGCCGGCCACCCCATGGCGGCCCCTCCTCGGAAGAGGACCACTCCTCCCCCATCTCCTTCTCCGGTAAGGCGCACCAGAACACATGGCGCGCCCTCCTCCTCGGCCTCCAATTTGATACGCGCAACAGACGCCCCCGCGTCCGACGCGCGAAGGCCATGGGGCCAGGAAAAACCAGCACTAAGAAGCACCAGCCTTCCCGACCCCAGCGGCGGATCTGGTCTATGGCTCCGCCGCCAACCAAGATTCGGCTGCGGAGGGTAGGGAGAGCGGCGCCTCGCAATACCGACACTCCTCTCCCCCCGCAGCCCCACCACCACCGCATCATTCAACGGTGCGGCCCCGTCTGAGTCGCGGAGGATAGGGCGAGTGGCGCATCGCCATACCAACACTCCTCTTCCTCCGCGACTCCACCTCGGCTGCAGCGGTAGAGGGTTGCGGACTCCCCTCTCACCACAGCCCCCCGACACACATCCGAAGTGGGCTTCCCAAGCCCACTCGGAGTGGCCACCTCGGGCCGGCCCTACACCTCGGGCCAGCCAAGGGGTTCCTCTTCGTTCACCGTGGTTGACCAAGCCACGGCTACTAAGCCCCCCCGCCACGACAAGGCGGGAACCCGTTCGGGGGGGAACCTAACCTAACCTAACCTAACCTAACCTTTTTTTTTTTTTTTTTTTAACGGGGGGAAATCCTCATGGACTACCTCCGCCTGGGGAAAGGCGGAGGGGCGTGCCGGACTCTTACCGGCTAAAACCACCCCGGTGTCTCCTCGCACGTGCGCGTGGGGCCGCGGGAATCCAAATTCTTCCGCAGCCCCACACTAGTGCTGGCCCGGTCTGTCCGGGCCTCGTCTCCTGCACGGGGTAGTGAGGTGTTAAACTACCCCGTGTATCGCCTCAGGGGCGCGCGCCGACACCCGCGCGCGCCTCCGCCTCGGGTCCATCGAGTAGGGGTGGCGGGGGCTTCCCCAAGTCCCTCGCCCCTGGACCCATTTATGGGGGCCGGAAAAGGGCGTTGTCCGCCCTTCTCCTGCGCCCGGTGCGCCTTCTGCGGCCAGGGAAGGGAGTCGAGATCTCCCTTTCCCGTTCCGCAGTTTCCTTCTGCGACATCACGTCCTCGCAGAAGGACACCACTGCATCCCACGACTCTGCGCTACCGACCATCTTCCGCACTAATGCCGGCAGCGACAGATCGCCTCCTACTTTATTTGTGAGGACACGGCGCTGCTCCTCCCAAGCTACACACTCGGCGAGCGTGTGTTGCGCCGTGTCCTCCCCGCAATGGACGCAGTGGTGGCACCGAGCGTCCGGCTCCCTGTCTATGCGGCGCAGGTACTTGCCGAAGCAGCCATGCCCCGACAGCACTTGCGTCACCCTAAACGACAGGGAGCCGTGCCTTCTCCCGAGCCAGTCGTCGAGTACTGGCCGGATCGCCTCGACGGTAGCGAGGCCTGCGGTAGGGCGCAGAAGCCTTTGCCGCCATTCCGCCACCAAGACCTGACGGAGCTCCTCTCGGCGCAGCGCGATCTGCCGCTGCACCGGTCTCGAGCCCCGTGCCCGCTCTTCCTCGCGCCATCGATATAATGACGCGAGTACTTTCGCCTCTAGGTCCCAGGGCGGGGATCCGGCCAGGACGCAAGCCGCCTCGTAGGAAATCGTGCGATACCCGCGGACGACTCTGACGGCCATCGCCCTCTGCGGTTTACGCAGAATGGCGAGAGTGCTGGCCGTCATGTCCATCGCCCACACAGGGGCCCCATACAGGGCCATGGACCGCACGATTCCCACGTACAACCGCCTACAGGCGGCGCTCGGGCCCCCCAAGTTGGGAAGCAACGTTGATAGCGCGCCCGCTGCACCCATCAGCTTGGGCGCCAGCCGCCGGAAGTGGGGTCCGAATTCCCATCGGCTGTCGAGCACCAATCCCAGATACTTCATGGTGGACTCGACAGCTATCCGGGCCCCGCTGACCACGATGTGTGAACCCGGCGGCGGCGCGCGTCGAGGGCCATGGAACACCATGGCCTCCGACTTACTTAGGGCCACCTCCAGGCCCAGGCGCCGGATGCGGTTCACCACTTGTGACACCGCAGCCGTGGCAACCAACGCTGCTTCCCTGTGCGAACTCCCCCGGGCAGTGACGAGCGTGTCATCCGCATAACACGTCAAGTCGGCGCCCGACGGGAGTTCACCTCTCAGCACCCAGTCGTAGCCGATGTTCCACAGGAGCGGTCCCAAGACCGATCCCTGCGGAACACCGCACGACATGACGCGCCGACCAGCACCGTCACGTCCCCAATAGGTAACGCATCTCTCCTCAAGGTAAGCCCCTATTATGCGGCGGAGGTAGGGAGGCACGCGATGGTAATTCAGTGCCTCCCGAATACAACTCCAGGGTAGGGTGTTGAAGGCGTTGGAGATGTCTAAAGACACCGCCAGCACCACCCCACCCCGGGATACTGTCTCCTCCGCCAGGGCCCTCACAACCTAACCTAACCTAACCTAACCTAACCTTTTTTTTTTTTTTTTTACATGGGGAAATGCCTACGCATACCCGCCTCGCGGGGGCAAGGACGGGTTATGTCGGACTCGCACCGACAAAAAAAAAAACCCCATGGTGTTCCACCCTCGTCGCATATTGGCAGGGCCACGGGAACGCTTTCGCACACTTCCGCGGCCCCACCTGCGCCGGCCACCCCATGGCGGCCCCTCCTCGGGAGAGGACCACTCCTCCCCCATCTCCTTCTCCGGTAAGGCGCACCAGAACACATGGCGCGCCCTCCTCCTCGGCCTCCAATTTCATATGCGCAACAGACGCCCCCGTGTCCGATGCGCGAAGGCCATGGGGCCAGGAAAAACTAGCACTAAGAAGCACCAGCCTTCCCGACCCCAGCGGCGGATCTGGTCTATGGCTCCGCCGCCAACCAAGATTCGGCTGCGGAGGGTAGGGAGAGCGGCGCCTCGCAATACCGACACTCCTCTCCCCCCGCAGCCCCACCACCACCGCATCATTTAACGGTGCGGCCCCGTCTGAGTCGCGGAGGATAGGGCGAGTGGCGCATCGCCATACCAACACTCCTCTTCCTCCGCGACTCCACCTCGGCTGCAGCGGTAGAGGGTGCGGACTCCCCTCTCACCACAGCCCCCCGACACACATCCGAAGTGGGCTTCCCAAGCCCACTCGGAGTGGCCACCTCGGGCCGGCCCTACACCACGGGCCAGCCATGGGGTTCCTCTTTGTTCACCGTGGGTGACCAAGCCGCGGCTACTAAGTCCCCCCGCCACGACAAGGCGGGAACCCGTTCGGGGGGGAACCTAACCTAACCTAACCTAACCTTTTTTTTTTTTTTTTTTTACATGGGGAAATGCCTACGCATACCCGCCTCGCGGGGGCAAGGACGGGTTATGTCGGACTCGCACCGACTAAAACCCCATGGTGTTCCACCCTCGTCGCATATTGGCAGCGCCACGGGAACGCTTTCGCACACTTCCGCGGCCCCACCTGCGCTGGCCGCCCCATGGCGCCCCTCCTCGGGAGAGGAACACTCCTCCCCCATCTCCTTCTCAGGTAAGGCGCACCAGAACACATGGTGCGCCCTCCTCCTCGGCCTCCAATTTCTAATGCGCAACGGACGCCCCCATGTCCGATGCGCGAAGGCCATGGGGCCAGGAAAAACTAGCACTCAGAAGCACCAGCCTTCCTGGCCCCAGCGGCGGATCTGGTCTCGGGCTCCGCCGCCAACCAAGTTTCGGCCGCGGAGGGTAGGGAGAGCGGCGCCTCGCAATACCGACACTCCTCTCCCCCCGCGGCCCCACCACCACCGCATCAGCGGTGCGGCCCCGTTTGAGTCGCGGAGGATAGGGCGAGTGGCGCATCGCCATACCAACACTCCTCTTCCTCCGCGACTCCACCTCGGCTGCAGCGGTAGAGGGTGCGGACTCCCCTCTCACCGCAGCCCCCCGACACCCATCCGAAGTGGGCTTCCCAAGCCCACTCGGAGTGGCCACCTCGGGCCGGCCCTACACCACGGGCCAGCCAAGGGGTTCCTCTTTGTTCACCGTGGGTGACCAAGCCACGGCTACTAAGCCCCCCCGCCACGACAAGGCGGGAACCCGTTCGGGGGGGAACCTAACCTAACCTAACCTAACCTTTTTTTTTTTTTTTTTTACGTGGGGAAATCCTCATGGATACCTCCGGCCGCGGGGGCAACCGGAAGGTTATGCCGGACTCCTACCGGCTAAAACCCCACGGTTCCTCCTCGCACGTGCGTGCAGGGCCGCGGGAATCCAAATTCTTCCGCAGCCCCACACTAGTGCTGGCCCGATCTGTCTGGGCCTCGTCTCCTGCACGGGGTAGCAAGGTGTTCAGCTACCCCCCTCCACAGCCTCCAACTCCACCTGCGTATCGGAACCCCCCGAGTCCGATACGCGGAGGCCATGGGGCCAGGAAAAACTAGCACTCAGAAGCACCAGCCTTCCTGGCCCCAGCGGCGGATCTGGTCTCGGGCTCCGCCGCCAACCAAGTTTCGGCCGCGGAGGGTAGGGAGAGCGGCGCCTCGCAATACCGACACTCCTCTCCCCCCGCGGCCCCACCACCACCGCATCAACGGTGCGGCCCCGTTTGAGTCGCGGAGGATAGGGCGAGTGGCGCATCGCCATACCAACACTCCTCTTCCTCCGCGACTCCACCTCGGCTGCAGCGGTAGAGGGTGCGGACTCCCCTCTCACCGCAGCCCCCCGACACACATCCGAAGTGGGCTTCCCAAGCCCACTCGGAGTGGCCACCTCGGGCCGGCCCTACACCTCGGGCCAGCCAAGGGGTTCCTCTTTGTTCACCGTGGGTGACCAAGCCACGGCTACTAAGCCCCCCCGCCACGACAAGGCGGGAACCCGTTCGGGGGGGAACCTAACCTAACCTAACCTAACCTTTTTTTTTTTTTTTTTTTTACATGGGGAAATGCCTACGCATACCCGCCTCGCGGGGGCAAGGACGGGTTATGTCGGACTCGCACCGACTAAAACCCCATGGTGTTCCACCCTCGTCGCATATTGGCAGGGCCACGGGAACGCTTTCGCACACTTCCGCGGCCCCACCTGCGCTGGCCACCCCATGGCGGCCCCTCCTCGGGAGAGGACCACTCCTCCCCCATCTCCTTCTCCGGTAAGGCGCACCAGAACACATGGCGCGCCCTCCTCCTCGGCCTCCAATTTCACATGCGCAACGGACGCCCCCGTGTCCGATGCGCGAAGGCCATGGGGCCAGGAAAAACTAGCACTCAGAAGCACCAGCCTATCCTGACCCCAGCGGCGGATCTGGTCTATGGCTCCGCCGCCAACCAAGATTCGGCTGCGGAGGGTAGGGAGAGCGGCGCCTCGCAATACCGACACTCCTCTCCCCCCGCAGCCCCACCACCACCGCATCATTTAACGGTGCGGCCCCGTCTGAGTCGCGAAGGATAGGGCGAGTGGCGCATCGCCATACCAGCACGCCTCTTCCTTCGCGACTCCACCTCGGCTGCAGCGATAGAGGGAGCGGACACCCCTCTCGCAGCATCCCACCGACACACATCCGAAGTGGGCCTCCCAAGCCCACTCGGAGTGGCCACCTCGGGCCGGCCCTACACCACGGGCCAGCCAAGGGGTTCCTCTTTGTTCACCGTGGTTGACCAAGCCACGGCTACTAAGCCCCCCCGCCACGACAAGGCGGGAACCCGTTCGGGGGGGAACCTAACCTAACCTAACCTAACCTAACACCTGCTTCAGAAACTTAGTCGGAAAAATCTTCCAATGAACGAGGCAATTGCAAACAAGACCCAACTTCGACAGGAATACGCCGAAGCAATCAGAAAAGCCTCAAATGACAATTTCCGCGAATTCTGCAACAAACAAGGTAAGGAAGATGTGTGGTCAGTTACGAATAGATTGCTGAAGAATTCGATCCCAACCCAACCACCTTCCACCCTCAAAATAGCACCAAACAAATATACCACTTCTTGTGAAGAAACAGCCCGTATATTTCTACAAAAATTTTATCCACAGGACACCACTGACACCTACAGCTCCCAAACAGTCACCCGACAAACCACTAAATTTCCACCGAATACGAATGATGATCCACCATTTACTATTGATGAAGTCCTCCATAACCTCAAGGATATGAACCCTCGAAAATCACCTGGACCAGATCACCTTACTTCCGACATATGCTTCTGTTTCACTCAAACATTTCCAGAACTAATAACTAATATCATGAATAGATGCCTAGCTTTATCGATATTCCCGAAACAATGGAAACATGCCCAAGTAATTATCATTCCTAAGCCCAACAAACTTGACTATACTGTAACCTCAGCCTATCGCCCCATTGGACTGCTTAATGTATTTGGTAAACTTCTTGAGAAGTTGGTTATCAAACGACTAAATCATTTTATGTACACTAATAATAAATGTAACAATAAACAATATGGTTTCAAGGAACAAAAGTCCACAACAGAAGCACTTAGTAATATGATAACATTTGTTAGGAATTGCAAAATCAAGGGAGATCAAGTTGCCGCTGTCTCCTTCGATATTCAGGCGGCATTTGATAATGCCTGGTGGCCCGCTATTTTGCGCAGACTCCACATTATTGATTGCCCCCAGAATATATAGAAACTATTAGCAAACTACCTGAGCGAGCGAACAGTCAGTATAAATTTCTCAAGCAGCAGTGCCAGCAAAACCATGAGTAGAGGATGCATCCAAGGTTCGGTTTGTGGTCCGACACTTTGGAACCTGATCTTGGATGAACTACTTGAAATGGACTTGCCCGAAGGATGCCATATTCAAGCCTTTGCTGATGACGTTACACTTATTGCTCACGACAAAGACCCCTCAAAACTACAGGAAATAATTAACAAGGCACTCCATAGAATCACCGTCTGGGGAGAGTCAGTTAAATTAAAATTCGGGCCTCAGAAAACCCAAGCAATTGCCTTCACAAGTAAAGCTGAGAAAATAAAAATATCCGTATCTGGTACTCCCATCAAATTTGAAAATCAGATAAAAGTTCTAGGCGTCATCATAGACAAAAAATTAAAATTCATTCAACATGTTCATAATATCTTAGTCAAAACAAGAAGTATATATAACAAATTATTAAAATACATTCGACCTACGTGGGGAATTCAATCCGAAAATATTGAAATTATATATAAAAATGTTATCGAACCAATTATATGTTACGCACCCAGCATATGGCACTCGGCTTTGAAATATAAGCATGTGCGAGACAAGCTGCTGTCTCTGCAACGTGGTTTCGCTGTAAAAATAATAAAAGGTTTTAGAACAATAAATACCATCAATGCAATAGCACTGGCAAGACTGACTCCCATACACATCAAAGTTAATGAACTAGCAATCATTGAAACAACAAAACTAACAGGCATAAGCAAATATCTTCCAACAGACATTATTTTAGACGCACCATCGAAACCAGAAGAACTGTTACATCCATCTCGACGCAAACTTATTCCTTACCAAGAAGCCAATAACGCCCAAGAAATCAATCAGATCATTCCCGAAAATACTTACCACATCTACACAGATGGCAGCAGACACGACGAAAAGGTTGGGGCAGCCTTTGTTGTAAATTGTCCAGATGGTAAAATTATAACAAGAAAACTAAAACTCCATAGTTCTTGCTCGGTGTTTCAAGCCGAGTTGAAAGCCATAGAACAAGCTTGTGTGTGGCTTGCAGATAAACACATCCCGAATGCATACATTTTGACTGACAGCAAATCTGGATTACAAGAAATCGCTAACCCCCATAGCACAAACCCCCTAGTAACCAACATTCATATAATGCTAGACAGCCACAGTTTATCAGTTAATTTCGTTTGGGTCAAAGCCCACACAGGTATACCTGGTAACGAAGCTGCCGACCTAGCAGCCAAAGCAGCAGCCATAAGCCATAACGCCCCTATTCTCACAAAATTTCCCATTAGCTTCGTAAGAAAACTTGCTCAACAAGATAGTAAAATAGCTTCTGAACAATTCTACAAAGATAACATGAAAGGTGAAATAACCAGAAAATGGCTCCCTACACTTACACACATACATGAATTATATCAAGTCACCAAACACTCTTTCGAACTAACGCAAATTCTTACAGGTCACGGCTACCACAAAGAGTACCTATATACCTATACCTATATATGTGGAAAATAACACATGCCCTTGCGACGACACATCAATACAGTCAATCTTTCACTTGCTTAATGATTGTCCAAAATTTCAAACTACACGTCTAACCCATACGATAACTTGTGCCAATTTTAAAGTACAACCCTTCTCCCTTGACCAAATTATTAAAAAGGAAAGTACATTGGAAACATTTCTACACCATATTAATAGTATAATAAAAAGCCTTAAGAAATTTAACGGAACAGATTAATATTAATTCATAATATGTAAAATAAATATTTATAATAATAAAAAAAAAAATTCTTCAGTGTCAGGAAAAAAAAATGTGATAATGACAAAAATACAAGTGCCTACAATGTTCTGTATCAAATAGCAGAACGGCAACAATACAACTTTGCCATTACCACAAAGATGGTGATCTTTGTGCAAAAAAAAAAAAAAAACCTAACCTAACCTAACCTAACCTTTTTTTTTTTTTTTTGACATGGGGAAATGCCTACGCATACCCGCCTCGCGGGGGCAAGGACGGGTTATGTCGGACTCGCACCGACTAAAACCCCATGGTGTTCCAACCTCGTCGCATATTGGCAGGGCCACGGGAACGCTTTCGCACACTTCCGCGGCCCCACCTGCGCTGGCCGCCCCATGGCGGCCCCTCCTCGGGAGAGGACCACTCCTCCCCCATCTCCCTCTCAGGTAAGGCGCACCAGAACACATGGCGCGCCCTCCTTCTCGGCCTCCAATTTCACATGCGCAACGGACGCCCCCGTGTCCGATGCGCGAAGGCCATGGGGCCAGGAAAAACTAGCACTCAGAAGCACCAGCCTTCCTGACCCCAGCGGCGGATCTGGTCTATGGCTCCGCCGCCAGCCAAGATTCGGCTGCGGAGGGTAGGGAGAGCGGCGCCTCGCAATACCGACACTCCTCTCCCCCCGCAGCCCCACCACCACCGCATCACTCAACGGTGCGGCCCCGTCTGAGTCGCGGAGGATAGGGCGAGTGGCGCATCGCCATACCAGCACGCCTCCTCCTCCGCGACTCCACCTCGGCTGCAGCGATAGAGGGAGCGGACACCCCTCTCGCAGCATCCCACCGACACACATCCGAAGTGGACTTCCCAAGCCCACTCGGAGTGGCCACCTCGGGCCGGCCCTACACCACGGGCCAGCCAAGGGGTTCCTCTTTGTTCACCGTGGTTGACCAAGCCACGGCTACTAAGCCCCCCCGCCACGACAAGGCGGGAACCCGTTCGGGGGGGAACCTAACCTAACCTAACCTAACCTAACCCAGGATACTCGCCACCCGCCGAAGCGTAAGCATCGTTCTAAGTGAGCTCCGCGTTTGAAAAATCGGAAAAATTAGTTAATTTAGTGCTACAGTGAAGTGCAATACGTCAAAGTGCGCGGAATAGTGTCGGCTTTGATTTGGATGCAGTGAAAATAGGTACACGATCTTGCCTGTGAGGATTTTGGCGACTTTTAGCTGAATTTTTCAAAAATCAGGTAAAATTTTACCATATTTCATTGAACGCTGCAAAATCTAAAGCTACGACCCACATATATTTTTATTCCGTTTTTTGGCATTTTGCATGGTGCACATTTTACAGCTTTTTCCAGATTTTTCGGACAAGAAAATACAGAGTTATTACATATTTTCTGAAAACCACGTGGCCACGTGTTCCGAGAATTCGAAGAGTGCGGCTGAGTTTGAAATAATACTTTTATAGACCTTGTTGATTCCTCTCATAAGACGTATCGCATAAGAAAATCGGTGCACTATTTAAGTTTTCAGAAGTGAAAAACGGATAAAATACACAACTTGTCATTTTTAAAACTATTTATTTAAAAATTTTAAGCGATAACATATACTTTTTATCTCAATTTATTATAGCACTTTTAGTGTTCTAACCACTGCAAAATTTCAGATTTTTCTGTCTTGAAATAACAAAAATATACAAAATTTTGTAAGATCACTCTGCCACGTGGTCACTGTTGCAGCACGTTCACAGAGCTAATTATCCATAAAATAGATGCCTTTTATTATTACAAACCTTTTGAAACTTTTTTCAAAATTTTCTGTACAGGCAATCTGAAGTTATTAAATTTTTAATCAATTTTAGTAAATATTTCTATTTTATTTAAAGAAATAGAAAAATAAATAACATCACCATATAGAGTGCACCGAGACCTTTTCTTTGATACCAAGGTCGGGGGGTCTAGCTTAAACGGTCTTCGAGTTGTAGAAATTTTTCAAATCTGGACGCCATATTGGAAAAACGTCAGAATTTTTAATTGACGATAGCTCGGCAGCCGTTGGTCGTACGAGTGTGCGGTTTTCATAATACTATATGTAAGATCAGTCTCCGTACTCTGGAATCTTTGGTTGGTGGGTGAAAATCGCACATACTTTGGTGGTCATCATTGGATGGCCAAGGTCAAGCCGAGTTGAAAGAGCCCAAACTCGGTACCCATAAGTATCATACAACCTCAGATACATAAAATTGAAATAAAGTCAGCCATCTTGATCCTCCATCTTGGGGATTTTCATTTTATCATAACTCTGGAACGGAGGCTCGTATTGAGTTGCGGTTTTCAATAAAGTTGTTGGCTGACTCAGCTCTATCAATTTAAGTACCTTCTGACTCTACGTAGAGTCTGCACCCAAAACTTTAAAAGCCTTGTGTCACACTGCGATTTTTAGCGTAGACACTGTACCGATATCTGTCCCTAGTCATATTATCAGAATTTGACTCTACCAAAAACAAAAAAAAATGTCAAACAAATCCACCAAATCATGCATAGAATTAGCAAAATCCAAACCCCCCAGTAGAACTATTAGAGGTGTTAGCCCGGTATCTGCACCAACTCTACGGAAAAAGGTTCTTTTACAAAATGCAACCTCAACGCAAAAAACTACTAGCTCTGCCGCAGATACGGAGAGTTCCCAAAGGGCCATGACTGAAACATCCAGGTCCAAAAATCCAGACAATTTACATTGTACTATAATTGCGAAGGAACATGTAGAGCAGGAAAATATCACTGCCAGAAATCCACATCAACATGACACTGCCTCTGAAAACAACACCTCTATTACGATGGATATGGAGGCGGAGCTTGACATGTTAGGAATTTGCAAGCCTGTACTCCGTACTGATGACGACTGGTCGGATTCTGATAGTGTGGCAAGTGGTGGAAGCAGGAGGTCAAGCATTTTACCGCCCGCATATAAACGGGCTGGAATTTCAATGGACCTTGCAACACAACGCGCCAATGAGTTCTTGCTTTCAGGCAAAGAAGCATTAGAGAAAGCGGGAAAGATGAAGCGCGAGTGTAAACAGGAAGTTCACGATTGCCTTCAAGGACTTTATGAAACGGTGTTATCGCTCTCGGACTCACGCTCTCGACACCGGCTCGCATTAGAACAAGAGCGTAGTCGAGCAGCAAAAGAACTAGTAAGAGTCGAGAGAG